GCTCTTGCAGAATGGCTCAATTCGTATAATCCCAACGGGACTTTCGGAGTTTGTAATATGGATGGAGTCAGTAACAAAGGGGGAAAAAATACCCAATCCAATTTAATGTCTGACAAGTGATGGATCGGACAGCTATTTCCTCTGCGCTCCGACAGGCTCCCGGGGTTGCGGAGCGGCGGCCAAGGGAGGCAAAGCCGGGAGGGACCGCAGCGGTACCTGCCACCGGCCGCCCCCCGCCAGCACCGCGGCCTTCTCCTCGCCGCTGCCTTCCATTATTTTGACCCGAGTCCGCCCTTTGTCCGCGGGGGCCGGGAAGCCTGGGAGGAGGGAGGGAGGGCCGGGGGGCAGTCGGGGGCCGAGGCGCGGAGGGCACGCGTGGAGGAGGCGGGCGGCGCGGAGCCCCGGAGCTGCGGCCGAGCTGCGGCCGCCTCGGCGTCGCTGGTTTGTCCCCCTCCTCCGTGGGGCTGAGTGGGGCGTCTTTTTGCCCCAGCCCCGCGAGGGAGAAAATAAAAATGTAGTGGAGGTACTAAGGTAGTAACTGGCGAAGGGGATGGGGGCTAAAAAGCCTGCGGCGGCCGGGGCTGCTTCGGCCGGCTGTGCTCCCTAGGTTGCCCGGGAAGCGTGAGGCAGCCGGAGCGGGATAGGGCCCGTGGGCAGCCGCTCCGGGACGTTGTCGGGGCTCCTGGCAGGTTTCTGAGTGAGCAGGAAAGGTCGGGAAGGACCGGGGAGTGTCGTCCCCAAAGGGCTGCGGAGCTTCTCCCGGAGACATTTTGCGGAGGTGGAAATCCGCCAGGCTGGATCGCGCCTCCGGCCCCAGGGCGCTGAGCGACCCCCGGCCACCGCCGCTGCTTTCACTGATGACCCCCTGACCCCTGCGGACCTCCCGAAAGGGACCCCCACGCCCGACTCAGTCAAACCCACGGGGATGGGGACAGGCTGGGTCTGCTCAGCGCCGGGGCCCGAGCCCAGCCGGCCTCTGCAGCGCGTGCAAAAGCCCGACCAGCTGTCCCGGGCCCTGGGCGCTCGTCCCGGGGGTCCTGAGGGGCTCCCGAGCAAGGGGGCTGCGTCTTGGCTTTTCTGCCCGCCGGTGGGCGCCCGGCGATGTCAGCTGCCATGTCTGCCTGGGTGGTAACAAGACCCCATCCCGCCGTCCCCTGAGCCCAGACTAACTTCTTTCAACAGCCTCTGATGGTAATTACAGTAATCGGGGCTGCCATATATCCTTTAAGCAATTATGGCACACAAAAAAAGCCCCCAAGGACCCCCTGTCGTGGGATGTTCAAAACGGTTTCCCTGCTGAACAGAAATCCCATTTTCTTAGCGCTAAAACTTCTGAGACGAAGCGGTACCTCGGGGAACCGGAGCGCTTTTAAACAGAGTTAATCAGTTATCGCATGACCCCGTGTCAAGCTTACATTTTTCCCTTCCCACCCCCCGCCCTGCCTCTTACCCGTCTACTTATTTCATATTTTGTCCTGCACGAAAGTTTTCTCATAACAGCCCCCTCGGGGCAGGGCTGGGGGTTCGGGGGGATGGAGGGGGGTGGGCAGAGCGCGGCGGGACGGGGCGGCCCCGCAAAGGCACGACGCGGGGGGCTCCAGCCGCTCCCTCCGCGGTGCCCCCATCCCCGTCCTCCGCCTCGCCGGGGGCCACGGAGCTGAGCAGGGCGGCCACGCTGCTCCGGCGGCTGGAAACGTGGTTATGTGCGTTTGGTGAGGTGCTCCAGGTGCTCGCGATTTATAGCAGGAATACGGGGACGTGCAAGGAATATATGGGCCATATGTTTACATGCATGGTGTGGATATGTACATAAAAAGTCCATAGGATTTTTTTTTTTCTTTTTTTTCAAAGCGGCTCCCAAACTTAAAATCTGTGTGGGGAAAACTAACACAAGTTTCTTTCGTCTCCACTGGCCGGCTTCAGTGCCGGCAGAGCAGAGCCGGCCGCCCCGCAGCTCAGGCCGGCCGGGGAAGCGGGGACCCGGTGGCTGCGGTGCCCCGGGAGGGTCGCGGTCACACTGCGGGCCCGGCTGCACCACCGAAACCCGGGCCCGCTGCCGCAGGGAAGAGGAGCGGACGGTGCTCTTGGCGCCGGGAGCGGCGGTGGGACGGGGTGCGCGGGGGCAGCGCAGCAGTGCCGGGCCCGGCACCGGGATGCACCACCGCTGCACGTACCGCTCCAGTGTCTCTCCCCCCACCCCCAGCCTGCCCCTCCTCCTCCTCCTCCTCCTTTGTGTGCGTGCGTGTGGATCCTCTCTCTCCCCGTGGATGCTAAGGACTGGAGAGGGAAGTCGGGCGCTTTCCCCCGTTTGCATTGTGCGGTATCCGAATTCCCATGCTACACTTTTTGACGGGTCACTGGTGCCCCAATAGGCAGGTGGCAAGGAGGGCTTGTAATTACACACTCCCAGAAACCGTGCCTTGGCCTCAGCCCTCCTCACGGGCGCCTACCTGCAGCTCCAAAGCCGAGGTTTGCTCGCAGGCAGTGGTGCGGGGGGGCATCCTTCAGCTGCGCTCCTTATTAATTGCGCAAAAGTTTTCTATTCTTTAACCTCTCTCCCCCCCTCCCACCTTCCCTCCCTCCGCCACCCCTCCCTCTCGCAGTCCCTAACCTAATCCCCGTCCCTCTCGCCGTGTTGTGTATAGCAGCTGTCGGGTTTCATTTAGGGGAGAAGCTGGCAGCTTGTGCTCATTGGAGGCAGTCAAACGAGTTTCAATGGGCAAAATCATTAAGTTAACACTTTATCTAATGTCCCTATTGTCTGCCAGCAGGCATTGTCTTAGAGCCTTAGCGCAGACATGTCTGAAAGTATCTCGGGCTCCTAAATTCTCTAGGGAGAGAGAGGAGCCCCTGCGGCCTGTTTCCATTGCCCCCCTCCCGCCCCCCAGCACCGCTCCGCACGCCGCCGCTTTTCCCTCTCCAGCCTTCATCCTCACCCACCCGTAGCCGGGGTTCTCCCTGAACAACTTCCAAACAAATATAGTAGCCCCGAGAGCACTCCATTAGAGTTTGGAGATCAAGGTTTCTAACTTAAGTTCTGATAGAAGGGAGAAAGGCTGCTTGAGGCAGAGGGAAAAAAAGAGAAAGAAGAGAAGAGAAGAGAAGAGAAGAGAAGAGAAGAGAAGAGAAGAGAAGAGAAGAGAAGAGAAGAGAAGAGAAGAGAAGAGAAGAGAAGAGAAGAGAAAAATAAGAAAGAGAAGAGAAGAGAAGAGAAGAGAAGAGAAGAGAAGAGAAGAGAAAAATAAGAAGAGAAAGAAAAGAAAAAACAAGGAAAAGAAACACTAAAAGGAGAAAAAAAGAAAAAAGAAAAAGAAAACAAGGAAAGGAAAAAATAAGAAAAAACAAACAAGGAAAAGAAAAACTAAAAGAAAAAGAAAAGAAAAAATAAAAGGAAAAAGAGAAAGAAAACAAGGAAAAGGAAGAGAAAAATGACAATAAGAAAAAAGAAAAAGAAAAAGAAAAAGAAAAAGAAAAAGAAAAAGAAAAAGAAAAAGAAAAAGAAAAAGAAAAAGAAAAAGAAAAAGAAAAAGAAAAAGAAAAAAACAGCAGAAGAAAGAAGGAAAAACCGGAGAAAAGGCAGAAGCTGAGCGGGATTTTGGCGGGTTTCTTGAACCGGGCTGCAGTAGTCTGTGTACGAGTTTTTACATCTCCCTGAGAGCATTTGCAATTCTAGTCAAAGCCGGTGCGAAAGCAGCGCTCGGCGGAGCGGGGGCTGCGGGCGAGGCGAAGCGGAGCGGGACGGAGGGGCACTGCCCGCCCGCCAGGCTCACAGGTCCACTGACTCCTCCGTGCACAAAACGGAGGCAGAAAGTTTTGCTGCAGGTTTTGGGGTGAAGAAAATAGCACGCCTTCTCTGCGGCTAAAATCAACCCCCTTTCGCAAGGGTTGCTAGTGAGGAGAGGAGGTTACTTGGCTTCCCGGTCATTTTATTTTGTTTTGGTTTGGTTTCTTATGTGCATCGGTCTCCTGACTGCTCTCCTGCCCAGGCAAAGTGCTGTCCTCTGTTTGCCGAGCTCCAGAAAGCGAGGGAAACACATATCCCCCCTCACCAAACCCCCCGAATTCCCTCCCCTCCCCCCTCATCCTCACATCTAGCAGGCAAGACTGCTGCTCCCGCTGCTGTAATCTTCCCTTCCAAAATGGGTCTTGGCGATTATAGAAGATCCAAATAAACTTAGCGGGGCATGAATAATGCTCATTGTAGAAAACTGACACTTGCTCAAGGAAAAGAAAGTTGGCTATAAAATCACTTCATTATTTGCTTGTACTGCGGCTCTGGGGCTAATCCCTCCGGAGGTCAGATTGCTGAGCGCTCTCTCTCTCCCTCTTTCGCTTCTCTGCTTTCAGGTCGCATTTTAGACATCCCTTGCAAAGTGTGTGGGGACCGCAGCTCCGGGAAGCACTATGGGGTTTACGCCTGCGATGGGTGCTCGGGATTTTTCAAGCGGAGCATCAGGAGGAATAGGACCTATGTTTGCAAATCAGGAAATCAGGTACCAGTCGCAGCTTAGCCCCCTCGCCGCCTGCTCTCCCTACTCTGCATTTCCCCAGGAGCCCGCATTGCCCTTTCCCCACCAGCAGAGAGACACCCTCAGCGAGATGCAGCAGCCACGCAGCCTCACCCTCCCTTCCCAGGGGGTGCCGGCCTGAGGCCGGGAGCTGGGTGCCCCAGCCCGCCTCCCCCCGGCACTTCCCCCAGCCCGCCGGAGAGAATGGGGGAGACGCTCAGGGAGAAGGAGGGATGCGGGCGTGGGGAGGGCACAGCCAGTACACCGCCTGGCTATGGGAGGACAGAGAGGGGCGGCCTCCCGGTAAGCCTCAGCACAGCCGGGCGATGGACAACCGTGGGTTTACACGCCGGCGTGTCGTGCCCGCGCCCAGGCGGAGGCAGCCCCGCTTTTCCTCTTCCTGCTCCGGCCGCTCTCTTTCCCACTGCCGGAGCGTCCCCGCGGTGATGCGAGCCTGGGAACGCGGAGGGATGCGCGGTGTAGCGGGGAGCCCCGAGGGGGCGGCGCCGCCGTCGCTGTCTCGGGTGCTGAAGGCGGCCCCGGCCCGCCCGGCCCGGCCCGCCCTGTCCCGGGGCCGAGCACCTGGCCCGGCCCGGCCCGGTCCGGCCCGGCGCACACAGGGGCCGCCCCTCCGCGGGGCCAGAGCCCGGGGCCGGCGGGGTGGGCGCGCTGCTGCCCCCGACCCGACGGCTGGCTGTGTTGCAGGGAGGTTGCCCGGTGGACAAGACGCACAGGAACCAGTGCCGAGCCTGCCGGCTGAAGAAGTGCTTGGAGGTCAACATGAACAAAGATGGTACCTGCTCCCCCCTCTTCCGGGGCTGGGGTGGCCGGGAGGCAGGAGGGAGCTGCTCTGGACAGAGGAACGCAGTGTCACTCCGGTGTCTCCTTGGCCCGGCCACTAATGACCCTCCCATCCGGCGGCAGCCCTCAGACACTTCTTCCCAAACCTCTCGGGCGGGGTGGGGCACAGGGCTGGCCTCAGAAAATTGCAGCGAGGGAGGAAAGCCCGGTCGAGCAGCGCGGGGCAGCCAGTGCGGATGCCCGAGGTGACCCCCTCGCCTCTCTTTGATGCCCCACAGCCGTGCAGCACGAGCGGGGCCCCCGGACGTCGACGATACGGAAACAGGTGGCTCTCTACTTCCGCGGGCACAAGGAGGAGAGCGGCGGAGCCCCGCACTTCCCCGCTGCCGCCCTGCCGGCACCCGCCTTCTTCACCGCCGTCTCCCAGCTGGAGCCCCACGGCCTGGAGCTGGCCGCTGTCACCGGCACCCCGGAGAGACAGGCTCTGGTGGGCCTGGCACAGCCCACCCCTAAGGTCAGCCACTGCCCTGGCCCCCGGAGGGCTGCAAACCTTGCTGCTGAGGTGCCTGCAACCTGTCGGCTCCTTCCTTCCTCTGGGGTAGACATGGCAAAGAGCAAGGCTTGAAACTTTGGGGCTTGTGGTGGGGACTTTTGTTACATCCCTAAAAGCTGTGAGGATATGAGGTGCAGTGCCTTCTGGAGGTGTGTGCAGCAGGACCAGAGGGTAACCTGCTCCATACAAACCCTGTCTCTCATACATTCTTATACCTTCATGGATGCAGAAATGGGATGGAGCCCATTCACAAGCCAGTTTTAAACCTTGTTTCACAAGGAATGCAGTCCCTGTGAATGAGTTTTCTTCAGAGAAATGCCAATCTCCACAATGGTGTAGTTCAGAAAGTACTTTGTGTACTGACCAAAGCCTGCAGCTTGTCCCCACAGACACAAACCCCACACTTGGCTAAGCTGGCTCTCTGCACTTCTTGGTTGTGACATTTCCTAAGCAGCCCGGTGCAAGCACTGCTGTGGCCTCAACTGCACAGGAATTAGCTGCAAGGCTATGTTTTTCATTAGCCCATTTGCAAAATGTTGTTTAGCATTTATGATGGGTTCTGCCAAGCTACCTACGAGCTCTGAAAATGCAGAACTATTTAAGAAAGTGCTTAAATAGTTGTGCATTTTCAGAGCTGGTCATAACATAAACATGGTCACAACATATAGTTTTAAGTGGTAATTTTGAAAAATGTTGAATCAGAAATTATTTGGCAAGAATATGTAGCACACACTTGAAAACATAACTCCATTCAAACCCTACACAGCCTCTAGATAGTTTTGCCTAGCTCTATGCATCTATTAACAACCTGTTGCAGTCAGGACACAAGATGAAGGTTTAGGCTAAATTAATATTTACTGCTTTGCTGAGCAGGGCTGGAATGCTAAATCAGCTTCTGAAGAAAGGTTACAAACTACATGTTGTTAATCAAATTTTTATCCTTCTAACTCTGCTATCAAGAGGTGTGCTATTGTGTAACAGAGTAAAGCATGACACAATATTTTGGTACACTTTTTCCCTCCGATGTAATAATTTCATTCTCCTTTCAACTTCCTGCTCTGAACTAGTACAGTTCATCCACATGGATGAGCAGCAAGGAGCAGTTTGGAGTGAACCGACTGCAAGCAATGCCCTCTGCTTGCAGAACACGAGAGTGCACACTCTGTATTGGGCTTGAGCAGGAACACTGAATGTAGGGGGGAGGAAGACCAGGCTGCCTTGGTGACTTGGCATGAAATGGCTTTATTTTCTCTTTGACATTAGTACCCACATGAAGTCAACGGTACCCCTATGTATCTCTACGAAGTGGCCACTGAATCCGTCTGCGAGTCAGCAGCCAGACTTCTGTTCATGAGCATCAAGTGGGCCAAAAGTGTCCCAGCCTTCTCCACCTTGTCCCTACAAGACCAGGTAAGGCACTGGCAGCAGGAGTGGCATCGGCCTGGCCTGCCTGTTAAAGAAGGCTCAGACTTCACATTGGGTCCTGAACTTCCAGCCCTAGACCTTGAAATCTGTAATGGACTTCAGCAGCCCCGAAGTTCAGTGCAGAGTTTCAGTCTGTCCCTGAAAACCACGCAGTGATTTAGAAACGGCTTTCCTCCAACTTTTATCTCATGAAACAAGTGAAAATCAAGCCAGGAAAAAGAAATCTAACATAAAACAAATATTATAGAAGGACAAGTGCTAGAGGAGAAATCACTGTGCTGCAGACCAAATGTAGCATGCCCAAACTGCTTTTCTACTTGTAAGACAACTTTTCCTTCCATAAAATGCTATCTCACTTTGCTATTTTGGGATGAGAAATGCTTAGTTCAGTTTATGGTCTCAGGATATGACTGAGGTTGTTTCTGAAGACCAGTTCTCCTCCTTCTCATCCTCTACCAGTTCTTCCTCCTCCTCCTCCCAGTCCCCTCATTCTCCTCTTCCTTTCTCCTACTCCTCCTCTTCTTTTCTCCTCTCAACTGTTTACACAGCCAACATTTTCCCTTATTCACCTTGGCTTACAATTACATCAATATGGTGGAAGCAGTATTTGGCCACCCCCCAATATTTTTTACCATTAATTAAAATCTTCCCTAATATGTTTTGTTTTCCTCTATGATAATTTGCCTTTGCCTCAAGTAAATCATAGGTGAACCATACAAGATGAAACAATTTCTTAATGACTTGATTCTTGATGAGAACTCAGTGTGCTTTGTATAATGCACCAATTTTTAAAAAAGTAATCAGATAATTGTAAAATGGAAGGGTGGAAATCTACACAAAGCTCCAATCAAAAAAGACACCTAATACTTTGATATGATTGAGCTAATTTACCAAAATGGTAACTAGAAAAACTGTGCCATAGATAGATGTTACATAGCAGTTGTCAGAGAAATTAGTTCCTCTCCCCAGAAGCACATTACAAGTGTTAGAGTTGATATGCAAATATGTATTTTGAACTAAAAGAAAAGAGCTTACTAGGAAATCAATAGTGTTTTCAATCTAAAGGTAAATAATGATGGTCACAATGTGTTTTAAAGCTAAGGTATATAAAAATGCTCTTTTTCTAGCACCAAACCTATGTTTTGAAATCCTTGTTGTGAAATTAGACAAAGAGGAATGCTGCTCAGCTCCACCTGCAGTCCTGCTACACAGTGAGGGTGAGAGGAGTGATGGGACAGGGTCTGGAAGGTCACACATGCCAGCAGGAAGGCAACAATCCCGGTGTGGCATCCTGCTGCTCTCTAATCCTGTCTTCTGCTGCCACTAGTCCTGCGGAACACTGGGTCTGTCACAGCGAGCAACCAAAGAAACAGGCTCAAGTGCCAGGGATGAGAAGCAGGTGAGCTGCTCCAGCAGCAGCCCCAGCACACAGGAGGAGACTGAGTCCATCTCTAGACCAGTGATGTCCACAGGAGGCTCCCTAGGCAAAGGGTTTAGCTGACATAATAGGGAGGCATTTCCCACAGTATCATCTCTGTTAGTGTGAGGAGGAGGAGGCAGCAGGATGTGGGAGCAGGGGAAATCCCCATGGCATGTGACCAAGTATGCCTCAAACAACACGGCTTGTTTATCTACCATAGACACCACAGTGCTCCCATTAAATGACCCACTACCTCTTTCACTTTCATAGCAGGGACTAATCTTAGAGAATAACTTTAGGAACTCAGCCTTTCCTTAATATCACTCTCACTTGCTGTACCTCATTGCAAGTCAGCTTCCTCAAAACTCAGAGCTGCTCAGCTCAAAAGCTTTGATTTGTGTCTTTCTGCATGATTCCTCTGTCATACTTAGGAGAGCTGGAGAAGAAATAATTCTGATTTTAATCACCTTATTTCATGAATAATCATACAGTTGATTTTTATAACACTGCTATTGCTTTATTTAATTTGACAATGGCCCAGCTGTAAATGTCTGCATTTCTCTTTTGGTATCCCTGACATCTGGCTGAGGAGAGACTAAAATCTCTTCCTGAATTTTGCTTTTTTTTTTTTTTTTTGTGTTCTTCTGAAAAGCCAAGTGCACTGTAATTTCAGGACTCTGGGGCGGTTTTATCTTGAAGGCAGGGAAATAAATAGAAACGAATTTGCTGATAAAACACAAGTCTGAGCATTGCTGCACTGTGTACCTCTGGTAAAACAGAGGCTGTGTCCCTTCTCTACATTCATACAGATAAGTCCATCATAACCAGAAACCACACAACAAAAAATGTCATGCTTCTAGTTCTCCTGGCCTGTACCTGCCCACGTTATCTGTGAGACAGGTTGGCCCAACGCAGGTCACCAACAAAAGGTCGCACTAAGGATGGGGTTGGTTAAGAAGCAAAACCAGTTATTCAGAGAGCCTAGTGTTTGTTGATTCTTTGAAGAAGGAGGGCTGAATATGACTTCAGCATGAATTATTTTAATTGGTGGTTTTACAGACTTATGCATAGGCATAAAGAAAGGGTTAGCTATTGGAATAGTCTCTTATTTCTAAAGTCTTCTAACTTTAAAGACTCGGTGGGAAAGAAAATATGAAATTGATATCTTCCAGGAACCAGCATTCATTACCATTGTATCTGCATGAATGAATGACAAAAAAAGTTTTACAAAAGCAAATGAAAGGCTGGCAAATCATTTCCTATGTCACACAGACACCTGTGCATCCATCAGGTGGGATTATCCAGAGGAGGGACTGGGTTTGCAGACTGCAGTGGTTAGGAAACTTAAGAGTAGATTCATCTGCTCTCAGAAGAAAGCTGAGATGGGCACCACACTCTAGACACAGCAAGCCCTCCCCATCTCCATTTCAGACAATAATCTGGGCAGGTTTTGGTACTGTAAAATCCAATGTAAATGTTCCAAACAGTAACTGTATGCAGAGACACGAGTACCTTCCTGTCATGATTTCCTTAGATTATGGAGAAATTCTGCAAAGCACACAGGGCAGAAAGGCATAAAATGGACATAACGCTGCTGTGAAAAGTTGAGAGCAGAGACAGAGAATTCTTCCTTCCATTCAGATTGGAACAGGGTGGTTTAAAACTTGTAACCATGTAATCACAGGAGGGGTCAGGTTGGAAAGGATTACATCTGGTCCGACCTCCCTGCTCAAGCAGGGTCATCCCAGAGCACATGGCACAGGACTACGTCCAGGCAGTTCTTGAATATCTCCAGTGAAGGAGACTCCACACAATCACTTTGGGTAACCTGTTCCAGTGCTTGGTGCACAGTAAAGTTTTTCCTCATATTCAGGTGGAATTTCCTGTGCAGTTTCTGTCCATTGGTTCATGTCCTAGTGGCTGGCAACAGGTAGCACTGTCCTGAACAGCAATATTGCTAAGAGTTTGCACATAGATGAAGGATTTGCTTTTACTGATGCTTTCTGTAACACTTACTGTTTTCACATATCTGATTCCAAGGATATCATTATTAATTTCGTACAGCATCTTTTTTTACTTTGTTCTTCTTTACTGACTCTTTACATACTTAAAATACCCTCCTTCCTCTTTTCCTAAGAAGCTAAGCTGCTGATAGTTTCAGGGACCATAGCAATACTAACGATTGCAGGTTTTGGGGTTTGGTTTGGTGGCTTCATTTTTTTTCTGCTTGAGTTTTGGGCAATCTGCTTTTACTGCATGGAACTGCTGCTGGAAGATACCTTCTGAGCCCACTACTGTTCTCACCCCTTCAAACCTCTCCCACCCTATTGTGTGACACAAGGTCCCAGCAACATGTATGCACCACCACATCCCTTTTGGCTATGAACTTCAGCTGAACCAGAGGTCCTCCAAACCTCTCTTAAGAGTTGGTCTGGGCTAACAATCTAGATGTATAGATGTCTGTTCTGGCTCTGACAATCTGCATTTCCAGAAGTCTTGTTTCCTCTTCAGATGCACCACTGCCTCTTCAGGGAAATCACAAGCATTGCCTCAGAGAAAACAGAGAAAAACACATCTCCATACAGCCATGCAATGTGCAAAAGCTGCAGAGAACTAGCAATGCTGTCAGTGTAGGTGCCTGGATATTTGCATCTCTGAAAGGAAACAGCTCTTAGTGCCTGGAATTTCTGAGTGATTTTAAGCAAAAAAGCAGAAAAACATGTATGTGACACTGAGAAATTGTTCGTGTGTCCAGATCTAGATCTAGATTGACAGATCTAGAGACTGGCTTAGTAAGAAAGGGGTTATAAGAGGGATGTGTTCTCTAAAGCACTGCTCCCTACACCGATGCAGGATGTTATCCAGGCTTTTCTTCACAAAATTCTCCCTTCCTGATGGAAAGGAGTGTAATCCCCAGAGAGCAAGCAGAAAGCACTCATCCAACCTGTCCTAGAACAGCTGCATAAGTGCTGAGGGGGAGGAGAAGAGAACCCATACCATGCTGAGAAAGCAAGTGTGTTCATGTTGTGAGCAAATGCTCTGGGAAAAAGAGTTCTCACTCTCTTTCTCTTCCCATTTGGTCCACAACATGGTGCACAGCGAGCCAACCCTCAGTGTTTTTCTACAATGCATAGACTTATTTCTAGACACCTTCTCAAAAGGCTAAGAGAAGAGTTAATGAATGCTGTGGGGGAAATACCATGACAGGCATTTAAAGTAGTTTTTAAAATAACAGAAATTTACATATTTAAATTGTTTATAAATCTATAAATTATACACTATGTTATATTGTACATCTATTGTATGACAGCTGATGCTTTTGGAAGATGCTTGGAGAGAACTGTTTGTTCTAGGAATAGCACAATGGGCCATTCCAGTTGATGCTAACACTCTACTGGCTGTATCTGGTAAGAATTGCACAATTTAATGACTTTGTTACAAAAATTACCATAAAAATACATTACTGAAAAAAGAACAACATGTAAAGAATAACAAATTCCTACTGAACAATAGAACATACCTGTCATTTATAAATCTATATTTAAATGCAAATAATGTTGTTTTGTTGTATTCATGACTGCTTGAATTGTCATTTAAATGCAAATTACTGTGTTTGTTATCATCCAAGAGAAGATTTTATATTAACTTTCATACAATATAGTCAGTTTACATGGAACCAGATAGACAAGTGTGACAATAGAGAGGACATTGATACAGAGGATTTTGTCAGAAATCAATATAAAATAAAGCAAATGCCTTTAATATTATTTATTTCATCTGTTTCTGTTTCAGGCATGAACGGTGACAATACAGATTCTCAGAAGCTGAATAAAATTATTTCAGAAATACAGGCTTTACAGGAGGTTGTGGCTAGATTTAGACAACTTCGGCTAGATGCTACTGAATTTGCCTGTCTCAAATGCATTGTCACTTTTAAAGCTGGTAAGCAGAAAGGATCTCTCGTTTGTCTAGGCTGATAACTATGAGGTTGCTCCTTTAAAGTGAAAATGATGTTTTAAACCAGGCATAGCTTTGTATCACTCAGTAGGTTTTCCAACATTGAATTCCAATAGTCACTGCTGCATTTTTAAAGGGCTGACAGTGGAGTGCTGGGGAACTAATAGGAACATTTAATTTCCATTGATAGCACTAGCTGAACTGTTTTGATCCACCCAAGAGTCAAGCTGAACTAGTAACTGATCTGCTTTCCAGTGCCCACACACAGTGGTTCTGAACTGAGGAGTTTCCGAAATGCTGCTGCCATAGCAGCCCTTCAAGATGAAGCCCAGCTCACCCTGAACAGCTACATTCATACCAGGTCAGTGGTGTCTTCTGTCAATGCTTCTGGCAGGTGTAGGGCTAACATCCTCCTCTCGTTGCACGGAAGGTGGCATTTGCACAGACTGAAGTGGGGACCAGGCTGCTATGGAGACTATAGATTGGCTGTCAGCCTGCTGGGATTTGGCATTTCCTGATGAAATAGAACCATAGAAAATGTTGGAAAGGATCCTCAAAATCACCCAGTTCAACCATTAACTCTGTCAAGTCCATCATTAAATCATGTTCCCAAGGGCCACATCTACATGTGTTTTAAATACCTCCAGGGATGATGACTCCACCACTTCCCTGTGCAGCCTGTTCCAATGCTTGACAACCTTTTTGGGAAAGATATTTTTCCTAATATTCAAACTAAATCTCCATTGGTGCAACTTGAGGCCATTTCCTCTTGTCTTATTGCTTGTGACTGGGAGCAGGGACCAAAACCCACGTCACTACAATTTCATTTCAGGTATTCCCCCTGCCCTCTTTTTCTTCAGACGGAATAACCCCAACTCCCTTAGCTGTTGCTCTAGACTCTTACCAGCTTCGTTGCTCCTCTTTGGGTGTGCTCCAGCACCTCAATGTTTTTAAACAAATAGAAAAGTGTTAAAAGGAAAGCTCCTCCTCTGGGAAGTGATACTAGCTGTGCAATACTTTTCAGCTCAGAGGCCTAAATTTTGCTCTACATTTTATTCAATCAAATACCACTAAAAGTGATGCTCAAAAAATTGCATCTCAGAGCAGTATGAACGCCTTTCACCCACTATGGGAATCTCCAGTTCCCATATAATCTCCTCCATTTCGCAGATACAGGAATCAGGACATAAGGAACTTAAGTGGCTCTTCCAAGATGCTGCCTAGAGTTTGTGCTCGGGTTCAAATGAATTTGTGAATCCCATTGTGGTGCCAGAGCAAAGTCCTTTAGTTGCAGTGGAGGTCCATGAGACTAAAACAGAGATGGAGCAGTGGAAGAGGAACTTTTATACCATTTTTTCCCTCTGAAGCTTTGATTGCCTGTCAGGCAGAAGTCCTATCAGTATCAGAGATTAGATGGCAGCAGTCTCTGAAGCACTTCTATTAGTCTACAGGGAATAGCCTGCACTGGGGATGGAAGTAAAAATGCAAATTCCATCCAGTTATGTCTGCTTCAGAGAAAAAAGAGTAACTGCTGCATAGCAGTCTCTTCCTGTTCTTAAGGAAGGCCTTTTCCATGAAGATTGCTCTCTGGAGTCCTTAAGTGAGACAGGGCCTGTTGAAGAGAGAAGCCAGGGAAGAATACATAGCCACAGCTTCCCTTCCAAGAGAACAACACTTCCACAGCATTTTTGTGTTGCTGGAAGTATTTAGATACTGTGCTAGCCGTTGTATACTGTAAACAATACCCTTTGTAAACAATTCCTTACAAAGGAAAAGTGCAGTCCACTGACTCAGACTCCATTATGAGAGGGCTTTCAGCTTGTGTATTTCATCCTTAGGCTTGAATTTACCCTCCTGCCAATGTCACTGCAGTATCACCCCTTTGATCCCACTGGAGTCACTCTCAACATGATGCAAGGGAGGGCAATATGGAGAAGGAGCATGTTTCTCCAAACACTACACTTTTCTTTAGGGATAAAAGATTTAGGGAGAAAACTTGTGCAAGCAGAAGTTTGAGAATCATTGTTATAAAGACAGTGTAAGCACAGCTAGAAATACACATCCTATGCTGTTCTGGCTTCGAAAGCTGGGAGAAAGGATGGAAAACATCCCATACACAAACACATTACCTGGGGAAAAACACAGCTTCTTTAACAAAAACTTTCCTTACAAATGTCAATTGGTATTCAGTATATCTGCTAACCAAAAGGGGGTAAAGTGATTACCATGACAATCCAGCTAATCTTAAGCTGTACTTCAAAAAACAGGGTAGTTACTGCAAGTCAAGCTCTTCCCTGAACTGCACTGAGAACATTGCTGTGTGAGGGACACATCAGAGCAGGTCCAGTTTTTGTATTGCTCCTGCTCTAGGGGAATGAACAAAGGAGCTAAACAAAACTCAGAAACCTTGTCCTGTATTCTGCTGACTGCCCCAGAGTTTTCCTTGGAGTCAACCTTCTTGCTCACACTAGTACAAAACACAGGGTTTTGGCACAGTGTCCTGGGGGGACACAAGTATCCCACTAGATTCTGAGTCATTCTAGACCTTGCACACTGCACTTAGGTAGAGGTTATGGGGTTTCCTCCCAAATTTGTCTCAAACCGGGACACACAGGTAGCACCACCTGTGCAATTCAGTAAATATTGGTCTTTTTCTATAAAATAAAATTCTTCCTTTGAAAAAATACTTTAAAATTTCAATGAAATTCTTTTTCTCTCTGTCTCCCAGGTACCCCACGCAACCCTGTCGTTTTGGAAAACTTCTATTGCTTTTACCAGCTTTACGTTCAATTAGTCCATCTACAATAGAAGAAGTGTTTTTCAAAAAGACCATTGGGAATGTACCAATCACAAGACTGCTTTCAGATATGTACAAATCCAGTGACATATAAATTACCTTAAAATAAACAATCAGGATGGACAGTCTGAGAAGAACTTCTATCTATGGAGAATAAGCCTCAACTAACAAAATCTACAGGAAGCATAAGCCTGGGAATGTTTAGTCCTTAAACTCATTGACAAAAAAATACCCCAGTAGATATGATTCTGCTGCTCTGAACAGAGTGATTTAGATCATGGAGAGAATGCTTTGTTCTATAGAAAAAGTGAAAGTGGTTGGAATTTGGCTGCTATTCCTGTTACTACAGGATGGAGGCAATTCATATGCCAGTCATAGTTAACAAAGACTCTGCTATTCTCTCATTTAACTGGCAGATCTGAGACAAAATGTGAAAGAAGGTACTTTAGGTTGTTCAGTATTTGGAACCGGGTGACCAAACTTGGCTTCTGTTGTAACACAAGATGTGGTGGCCTTCAGAATTGTTTTAAAAGTAGCCTATGTTGGGAAAGTGTTTTTAATATGATAGGCAACATTTGAGATCAAGTTACCAAAACATTGCTTCTGCTATAATACATCATGAAGTGGCCTTCAGAACTGATTAAAAGGTAGCTTATGACGGCAGCTCCATTCTTCCTACAAAATGAACTGGTGATCTTTGACGTGGATGTCACCACAATTTGTTTGGTTAACATCTCAAAGACAGAAGAGCTTTATACATTTCCTCCCCGACCTTCCCTCCTTCTTCTTCCACACACACAGACATACACTCACACACACATACACACACACACACCTGAAAAGAGACAACACAAGAAAGGAAGACTAAAACAGCAAAACCAAATACAATGGAGATGACCGCTTCAGTGATCTGCTGGCTGTCCCGTTGGCACAGTGCTGAAACCAAAGGCAACGGTGGCCAAACTCTTTGTTGATTAAATGTGCAGAGAAATGAAATGACTATAAAAAAATCCATGGAAGGAATTTTATTTCAAAGAAATAAAGGCTGATGACTGATACAATGCTAACTATTTCCAAAAGTCTCCAATGCCTTTTTAGAAATCTCCAGGTTCTAATTTTGAAGCCTTGTTCGCCTACACCCTCTCACACACAAGAACGTTATAAGCTGCTTATTTGATGTACGAAAAATGTAGAAAAAAACCATTTAAAGATAGCTGCTGTACTTTTCAAATTTTGATTTGTTATTAGAAACTAGCACTGAGAAAGATCAGCACTTGAACTATCATAGAATGAGTAAAACTTTTCCTGTACAAAGTGGATTAACCGATTTGTGAAGTTAAAAAGTTGTACTCATTGTATTTACAAAGAATAAAAATATATTGAATTTAAATTACTTTCCACTGTTCTTTTAACCGTTGTCCTTAATCAGCTTCTTCCACTGTCTCCTACTTAACAGGGAATAGAAATATTCTTTACTAAAATGGATTGCCCTAGATCCTGTGGAGTTTCCATCATCAGAGGTTCTTAAAAACAGGTTACACAAACATTAACGGAGTAGCTTAGGTGATCCTGCCTTTGTGAGATCCTGCATAGAGCTTTCTGTAACCCAAATACCAGCTGCAAGGTTTCTTTCTCAAGAAGGTGACATGTAGCCTTTGCTAGGATGCAACACCAAGTGCATCAGAGGTCTACCCCAGTTTGTGCCTTCTGTTGTATGTTGTTACAGTTTTTAATATCGGTGAACTGTGCAGCTAACAAAAGGTGATGAGCACAAAAGCACTGCTTCAATTAAAAAAGACTGAGGTTTTATTAATGTGTCTAACTGCATAATCACACCCAAGAAAGAGGGAAACAACTCCAAATCAACATAACAACTTGGCAATAGTAGGAGGGAAATGTATTGTTCACATGGCAATGAGTAACTGAAGAACCATGCATGCTAAAATGACAGGTGGAAATATACTGTGTGTATTGGTGGCTCATTGGTTTGCAATGCCAAGGAATACAGGTCACAAGTGAAATCCTAGATCTGTTGACTTCCAAGCTCAAAAATCTCATATGTTTCAGAGGTCAAAGTTTTAACCCCAGCTCTCCTCCATCTGCAGTCTGCTGGGTCTCATATTCTATCTTTTCCAAGACAGACAGACCCTAAATACACAACATGAGTCACAGGCTATGAGACCTCAAAGTATCTTCCATACAAACTAGCTTGGAGCACTTAAAAAGGCATTTACTACAGGGTACAGCACATTCTTAGAATGAAAGCAACATTCTTCCTGCACCTGTAATCATTTTCTGCTCTTTACACTAGAAAGAGCCTGATAGGACAGAAAAATTAATTGTGGTTCTCCACTTTGTGGCAATTCAGTTTATGAGCTAGAGAAGTAGAACCCAGTGCTGCACAGAATCCATCACAGAACATTCATTTCAGTAAGATTCATGCTGCTGTCCCAGAGCAGCAATAAACACGAACTGCATCCACCCTGCTAGGCAACAGGGCAATCACACCCTGCAGTTTGCTGTAGTCCCAGTCCCTACATCACCCAGGCTAGAGGACAAAACAGAGCGTACTGGAAAAGCAGGCAGGGCAATGGGACCACACCCATATCTCATCCTCTTACCTGCAAGACCTGGCCCAGCTGCAGAGCACACTCACTGGGAACAGTGCCCAGATCCCTACGGTTTAGGCACAGCTAGTCTCAGACTATGTCTTGCTCCCACTACTGCACATTGCACTGAAGCACAATCAGGTACACTACACTAGAATTAGGGTCTCTAGCTAGCCTTGAAGGACTGAAGGCCAGGTGAGATCCCAGAGTGCTATACAAACACCCTGTCATTCTATGAGACTAATGCTCTGAAGTCCTCATTTTGGAAACAGGAATACTTTGACATCAAGCATGCAGCTTTTCCCTCTTCAGCTTAAATATTTTGGTTTTTTTCATAGCAAATTATATTGATTGTGTCATCATCTTTCAAGTTTAAGATGTGGCATTTACTTTGATTTCTGAAAGAAGCTTCTCTCAGAAAATAATATTTGAAAAAAGAAAAATAACAACTTACTCTGTATGTAAACCTACATAATAAAACTTCAACACACTGAATCTTTCCCCCTTTTCAAGAATAACTCAACCTTTAGGGGTGATTCAACAAGAAGAGGGAAATTTGGAAATTATTTACATTACCAAAAAAATCCTGAAAAGTGAGAGCCCTGGGCTGCAAATGGACTGTCAGTTTTGGTCCATGGTTTAGTGAATAGAATGGTTAGAGAGAATCAGCATAGTCTCAGTTAAGTATGAGCCTTCCACCTAAATTTAAATTATTCAAACACTTATCTCTTCAGTGTAGCTAACCACTAGTACTATGTGTAATCCAGCCAGCCACCACTGCCTTGTCAGTTCAGGCTTTTACGTTCAGATTTCCATAAATGAGGTTAATGGTCTTAGTTAAAAGAAGCTACTAATTTTGCCAGCAACTTTGTAGGATGCTCTTTACAGAGGTGTTGTACGAAGGAAAAAAGCAACAGAGCTGAGTCTAAGCCAACACATAGCTACCAAATAGAAAGAACACTAGAGCAAGCTGCTACTAGAGTTCTGGAATCTGCTGTCAAGAGCATCTGGATAGGCAATTTCCATGTCATTCCATACGTTTGGAAGACTAAGGAAGCTTCTCTAGCTCACTTCCTTCTCATATAAAAGACAACTTCAGCAGTGCTGCCTGTGAACTACAGTTCAGCCATCCAGAACCCTGCATCGCACCAGTGGTCAAACCAGCACAGTGTTACAGCTCACCCTTCCTTTAGTGTTCAGGGAAGTGGTCTATGATCACATCTTACATCAGACTTGTACTACTTCATGTTCCTAATTCTATCTGTAGAGCAGAGCTATTTTAATCTAGGAATGATGTTATAAGTTATGTAAATATTCCTTTCTCTATAGGATTTCATAGTTTTCACTAGCTAGTTGAAGCTAGATTGATGCTTCTTATGCCAGGTAGGTATCCTTTTCCCAATTAAAGTCACAGACCTGTTGACTGCCTACCATGAGTGGTATTCCAACTTTGGCTCCACAAGACAGGAACAGCCTTTAATAGCTTTATATGCTCTTAAACACTTGCAGAGTGTGAGGGTATCACAGGGTACTTAGTGCTGGCTGTTAGTGATACACAACTACATTGTGGAAGAGCATCATAGTGGGGTTGTAACACCAGTTCACTTAGCATAGTGAAACCCCTCCTCCTCAGAAAGCATGAAACACTCCACACTCAAGGTCAAGAGTGACAAAACATTTGAAGTGCATTTTCACTTTTATTTCAAAACTTTAGACAAGTTACTTTAGTATATAAATTCAATTTTTTCCTCTTACAGAATATAAAGATAATTCCCTCATTACTTCAGTATAAAGTGTTTTACAAGCTTGAAGACAATTGCATAAGTGTTTCTCATACAGGATATCAGAAATAAAGCAGTCTTTCTACAGACATTCAGACAGGTGACTACCTCAGAAACAGCATAGCAGTTTAGTCAAATACAAGTGAACACGTGACACTACAGTTGTGAAAGTTCAAGTAAGGCCAAGTCAGTAAACATTGTTAAGTCATTGCAAATAATAGTGGAAAGGTTTGTGAGACATTGCAAGGGGTGGATGGTTTCATAGTGTAATACTCTCAAATCAAGGATTCAGAGGGATTTAGCTAGAAGACAAGTGAGTTCTTAAATGCTATAAAGCATATGCAAAGACCAAGCAGTGTACTGGTATTAGTGGAGACTTTGTGCCTGTTCATCCTCAGCATGCTAAGACAAACTACAACCTCTTAAAACCAAGCATAAGAACCACTAATATTTGAGGAGATGCTTTTAAAATTCAAGTATGTCTTATTTTGGATGGTGTGTAGTTTTTATCTATTACTTCATCTTGTAAGAACATGTGAAGACAACGCTCATTCTGTGCCAGTGGGTGGCCTGCAACCCTGGAGAGGAAAAAAAACAACAAGCATTAGTGTGGACTGATTGAGCCTAAATGTAGCTATCCTGCAGGTCAGGGTTTTGTACCAATAACCTATTGTTCTGCATAGATCCCACTTTCACTTCACTGTTGGCAACTAGAATGCTGTCTAGCGTTCTAGCATGTCTAGCAGCAAGACTTATCACACTTCTCCAGGTGAAGTTAATCCATAGAAACCTTGAGCTACCTCTGATCCCTTGGAAGCATGTTAAATCATTTTTCACCTGCAACTGATGGGACTATTCATGTAAGTGCTCATTCTAGTATTAGGAAATCTGGAGCTAAGAAAGGCAAGAGGATCTTTTTTTAAAAAGATCTTAATGTATTTGCCATGGGACACCCTTCTAAAGGCCATTTATCCCCTCAGCTGCGTCACTGAGCAGCAGCTCGTCCCGGCAGAGCTGAAGCCTGGCTCCAGCAGGGGGTGCGAAGGCTTTCTGAAGGCTCAGGCACTGCTCCAGACACAGACTCCCCAGGGTCAGTGTCCTGGCCTGTATGGGCACCACTGCACACAGCCAGGGGTACTGGCCCTTCTGCTCATTGCACATGTGGTAGCTTGCAAACACAGGAGATAGAATTTGCCTGTTCTAGGGGACACCAGCATCTCTACTGTAGATTTAATTTAAGCTGAAAAAACATCTTTTTAACAGTAAAGGAGCTGAAACTGAATTAGGAGACACTCAAACTTGGAAGAAAATCACAAAGTATTGCACTTGAACCTTTAAAATACCATGCAGATTCCTGCACAGGTAAAAATCCAAAAGAATCAGATACCTGGAAGTTCATAATTTATGGACACTAATACCTAATGCAGTTTGATTTGAAAAAAACTACATCCAGTTTGGTCAATCAAGACAAACTTCTTCCTTTAGGAGAGAAAGTCTCCCATTGTCCCAAGGCAGCTTGTGTAAGCCTTGTGGACTCCATATCTGTCAGAACATTTCTACCCATAATGGAAGGCATCTGGTTGAACAGATGCAATACATATTCAGCTCCAATGGCTCAGCACCACTTCCAAGCACTTCTGTGCATCTTTTCCAAATTTATCTGTTAGTGTTTATTTCACCACAGAACATACTCACTTGTTACTACTGACTTATTGAGGGTGACCTCCACTGAGGAAGCTGAGCTCTCCTATTTAGTATTGATTGATTACTTCAAGTGCAGTTATAAAACACATCCAACTTGCCAGGTTCTAGTAAAAGGCCAGCAGTCTCAAGCACTAATTTACAAGGATGACAGCCTAGAGTAACTAGTTTGAGTTTCTTACCCCATCAGAATGATGTTACCAGTGTTAACTTCAAGGAAAAGATAAACAGGAGGGGATGAGGAAGTAGCAAACTTCTTCCTTTCAGGAAGGCTTCCTTTCAGAAAATTGGTGGCTGAATTGCAAGACTAGATCTGATCTGAGTCAGCTCTTGGTTTCACAGGGATACCTCACTCTGCGTTGGCTTTCCCCCTATAATTTTCACCAAGGTGACCCTTACACATAGCAGCTGCTACTTCAAGAATTTTCATGTATCTCAAAGTCAGGTTGAAGCAGACAAGAATGTTGAGACCTAACACCCTTGTGAATGTCACTGTATGTAGTATTGATGGTGGTGCCAGCAAACTGGCCCAAGACAGCTGACTCAAGCAGCACTGTTGTGATTCAGATTTTACATCTAGAGGGACAAAGCTTCTCAATAACATCCATCTCACACTCACAAAATATTAAGAACTAGCATCAGTGCACCAAGATTTTTTTTGTTCCAGTGGTATCAGTTATCCGAGGGACTCTTTAATTCCAGAAGCAAAGTTCAGCTTTGAGTATGTGATAATGGGAATGTACTGTGCAAAGGACCTTCAGGTCTAAGTTCACTAGTGCCCAGAGTACTTGGCAGAAGCTTTAAAGCTTCTACATGGTTCAAAACTTTAGTAATATTTACTTAATGAGTTGGTCATGTCATTAGAATTCACTGATGAATTAAATTGCTATGATTTGTGCCTGGAAAGCCTTATTCCAGATATACTCAACTCTGCCACTACATCAATATCTACATTAGTCTCCTTTTATGTTTCAAAGGAGGAAAAATTAACCAAGTAGTTTTACACTTCCACAAAATCAATTTATTATTTTCAGTAGGACTTAAAAATGGGTACTGATAAATTGGCCATTCCATTTCTCTCAGCTATAAGGAGTTTTTCAGAAAGTCAGATGACTGTTTCACATCAGCTGTTTCAGAACACCAACAGCCCTCTTCCATGCATATTTCTAGATTCAGCATACAAAACTTTAAGTAGGTGCACTTTTTCTCCATTTAAGATAGAGTTCCAAATGAGCATGGATAAAGCTTGGATGCC